TATAGATCACATCCGCTCCAATCTTCCCAACCATTATGATAATTGATCATAAATAACAAATTTAATACCATTTGATACTGTGAATTTTCAATTAGCCAACCCAAGGAACCTTTGTAATTCGAAAAATTCTCTTGAAATTATTTTGAAAATAATTGTTATACAAAAAATTCCCTTTATAATGATTCCATAAAAATGAAATACTCATAATAATTTACAAACAATTTTTTTTTTAAGGCTAAAAACAATCTATTGAATGGGCACTAGATAAGGGGTTGGCTTGGAAATTGATTATTTTGATTACATTTTTACTTTTTATGACAAAAAAATAAAAAATAATAAAATTATAATTTGTAATGATTTTTTTTACTATTTTAACTTAGTAACAAACAAGGCTTTAAATTTTGGGAGACTTGATGATATACCCCTTACTATTTAACTTGTCCTTCAAAAAAACAAGAATTATATGAATCATTTGAAAATTCCCTAATATTTTAAAAATTGTTTTTTTTACCATAATACCATCATATGTGTATATATATATCAGATTTACAATCAACCACTCTCTCTCATCTCAATCTCTCTTTTCTCTGTCTCAATCTCTTACTATCGTTGCTTTCCATCGATACCATCGTCGTTCACCATGGAGCTCTTTCTCTACTGTCGCTCGTCGCATCCATGACCTCGGCTCTGAGATCATTCACAGTTGTCATCACTGGAAAATGACCATTCGCGACGGTTCACAAACCTCAAATCTAAGATCCTTCATTCTCTCTCTCTCTCTCTCTCTCTCTCTCTTCTTTTCTTCTTCTTTTTTCTCATGATGCTCTATTTTCGAACTCTATGTCTCCATCTCTCTCTTTTCTTCTCATGATACTTTGTTTTCCGAACAGTGAAATTTTACTCTGATTCATGATACAGTCCTTTTATGCAAAGCCATCATCGCAACATGTTTTAGAGTAAAATTATACTCTAAATCAAAATAAAATTTATTATAATTCAAAGTAAAATTTTACTGTCATTAATCAGTATGTTATTAACCATAGTAAAATGTTACTGTTATAAAAAACAGAATATATCCTAAATGAACGAACCAGAGTCAAATTTTACTTTTAAATATATGAACAAACAAACAAAAAACTCTTACTTTTTCATTGTGAAGACGGTAGAGACGATGAACAACCATTGAGTTGGTGAAAAGAGAGAGAGTACTATAAAAGAAAGAGAAGAAAGAAAGGGTATAATAATCAAATAAAATATTCAAATAACAAATTTTGTCTTTCATATAGGACTTTAGTTAATAATTAGTTTTAAAATTTTGTTAATATGTGCCCTTAAACACATGTTAAGTATAAAAAATGTGAAATATTAATTATAAATAATTATATATGAATTCAAAAATTAATAAAATTGTCAAACAATAAATGCATCTAATTAAATGTACAAGTTAAAAATATAAAAAAATAACTTATTGAAATTAAGACCAATCAATACAATTATGAGTATACCTTAACAAGTACTTCCAAGTTCCAACATTGGTTAACTTATGTTTTATGGATTGGAAATCTATTGAATTCTTCTAGTTTATAATAATCTTCTAACACTAATTTTGTCACGGTCCAACCTCAGATGTTTATGGTTGAATTCACAATTTACTAATAAATTTTAATTTTAACAAATTAAGTGGCGCATGCTGAGATAAAATAAACTAGTAAATAAATTAAATAGATAAATAAATAATTGAAATACTCCTTAATTTTTATAAAAACACATTCTCCAGGTCTCTTATTTATTTTATTGATGATCGAACAGTTACCACAAAAAAAAAAAAAAAAGTACAAAATGCCTGCATTAAGTCCTGTGTTAGTCCTATTACACGAGGTTGCCACTGTTCTTTACATTTCATCACCTAAAAAGGGATAACAACTATAGGCAGAGTGAGAAATATTATACTAAGGGTGTGTTTGTTTTGAAGGATTAGGATGTGGGATTGGACTAATAGTCCATTGTTTGTTTCAATTTTTTTGCTCCGGGCCAACAGTCCCCTCGGACTATTAGTCCTATATTTGTGGGACTATCCTATCCCATGGGGAGAGGTGGGATTGATATCCCATGGGATGAGGCTCTAAAATATCCATTTTATCCCATGTTATTACTTAGCAAACAATTAAAAAATGGTAAAATAGTCTTTTGAATATTTATAAATTATTTTTTTAGCGTTGCTAATTTAAAATTATATATTAAATAAAAAATTTAAATTATAAATTATAAATTACAAGAGTAAAATAGTCTTTTGAACATTTATTCTTATCCAGTCCGTCTAACCAAACATTAGATTTACTAAAAATAGTCCAATCCAGACATCTAATCCCATGACTAAACAAACATAGGATAGAAATCCCATCCGACCAAATAGCCCAAGGACAATGTATTCTGGGACTAACAATCCGATGGATTACAATCCCCCCTTATTCAGTCCGTCCAAACAAACACACCCTAAGAGTACGAGGGTATAAAATCACTATGAATAATAATTTAGGCCAAACAAATAATAGTTTGGTGCGAGTAAATCATTTGAATAACAGAAACGAAATGCAGAATTATAGCAAAATAATCACAATCACGGTACAAAATATAACAGAATAGAACAAAGAGTCAATGAATCCATGACAAACAGAGGGTACTAATTAGAGGCCAATGATTAGTTAAATCCCCCAAAGTATAGGATCGTCAGAGAGTCACTACAGTAACAATTCAAAGTGCTAATGGTTATTTAAGTCTCACAGAACATGAGACATCCGTGGTGATACTTATAAAATAATTACTCAAAAACATATTTAATAAACAATTATATTTATGAGTTTTCACTCTTTTTTCTTCTTTTTTTTTTGTAAATAAATAATGTTAAAAAATAAATAACATAGTTTAAATGTTAATATAATTTATAAAATATAATTAACATAAAATAATTCATAAAATAACAAAATATAATTCACTCTTAATCTTTACTTTTTTCTTTTTTTTTTTCTAAAGCTCCCCTCCTCTATTTTGTTTACTCTTTTTCTTATTCGTTGTTGTTTTCTTCACTTCAGTTGCCACCTTATATATTTATAGGCCTCGCTCGTCTCCAATTGGAGATCAAGACTAGACCATCTAGTCTAGTTCGTGGGTCTAGTTTTAGGTTTTTTTTTAATAATTTGAATTGTTCAATATGTAGAACTCATCGAGTATTGTATTTTTATAAAAAATTACATTAATTGGATATCAATAGTTATTTGACTAGACTAGATTTCTGTCAACCGTTTATTTTTTTATTATTTATTTTTTTATACAAAACTGATCTGATCAAATAACTATCGATATTCGATTAATGTGATTTTTTATAAGATTATAATACTTGATGAGTTTTACACATTGAACAATTTATATTATTGAAATAAGACTCAAATATAAGCCTACAAGCTGAGCTGGACGATCCAATCTTAATATCTAACCGGAGACCAGCTGCACGGATATTTATACAAGTGTTTGACTAATAAGGCTGATGACACGTTGATGGGCTCTTTTATTACCTTAGCCTTATACAAGGCTTCAAAGCTTATCCAAACACGTGCCTAATGCCTAATTTTTTTTTGACCCTCATAAAAAGAATATTTACATTACATTCCTCAATGGCTATATATTATCATATGTATACATTTTTGGTGATATTAACTTAGGCTAAGTTTGGGAAGTCCTAAATAATTCATCTTTTTATCTTTTTTTTTATCACATCACTTCTCTATTTTTCTGTATATCTTTTCGTAAAAAGATAAAAAATACACTTATTTAGGTCATCCCAAACAACCTCTTAATGTTAAAATTAATTAAACATTTGGACTGCCATAAATTTGGAAGTTCAAAACACAATCCTTGCCAGATTAAGCGTTGGTTTGACATAAACTAAATAATACAAAAAGTCAAAAGTCACTATCCTATTTAAGTCACATCATCTTATTTAAATCACATCACCTCTCTAACACATCACATCAAATTCAACCTAAACCCAACCTATATAAGCCAATAAGTTAAAAAGTATACTTTTTTAGAATATCTCAAATCAACCCTAAATTACTCTTAAACCATCTAATAATTATGTTTGAGCAGCTAAACTAGGAACCGAGGTCATGTTATGCATTCAGCACAATAATCACTGTTGTGCAACCAAATGAATTCATTTCGAGGCTCGTTTTGATGATCCAAACTGTTCACATTTTAGAATACATCGATTAAAATATACATGCAAAAAATCAAATTAATCATATATCATTAACCTTTTCATCTACTTCAAATATTTATTTATTTTTTTTAGATACAAATGTTATATAATAAAATGATTAACGATATCTGACTAATTTAATTTTTTACGATATATTTTATTTAATGTGTTCTAAAATATAAACAATTTAAATTATCAAAACAAATTTTGAAATAAGTCCATTAACTACGCAACAATGCATACGGTGCTCGATGCATTACAGGATCCATCTCCCCCCCTAAACTAACATTACAAGTTTATTAGAAGCTAAAAATATTACATTAAATTTCAATTATTATTTTATATGAAAGTACACATCATTGAGGAAATATAAAATTATTTTATAATTTATTACTTTTACTACACTCATTAACCCAATTAGTCAATTGTCACAATGATGCCCCCAAAGACTTGGCTAGAAAATAATAGGAGATGCAAAAACTGCAGCCTAAGATTCTGTATCTATCATAAAATTGTCAATGTACGAATCCATCCACAATCCATCCACCTTCTTCTTTAATTTTTCTTTTTTTTTAGTTTTTGGTTTATTTACCGTTACCTACAGCCGCCAAAAACCCAGACAACCCATCTTGGCCGTCCGATTTAAAAATCCACAAGACATTGGAGGGTCCCAATCTATGGTGGAACCCACATAAAGCAAATTCCAAAGGGCAAGAAAACGAGCCAGCGAGTGTGTTTCTCTTCTCACCCACACCACCTACTCAATGGCCCTCACAACTTAACTTTGAGTCCACCCAAAGGGATTAGGATTCCACATGGGTAGTGTTGTTTTGTTGTAATTGGTCTTCTCAATCCCATCTTTGATCAGGTTCTTTCTTGTTGTTGCTGTACTTGTTTCCTTTGTCCTTCAATTTGTGTTTCTTGTTGGAACTTGTTACTTGTGGGTGTTTCTTTCTTTTCTTTGAATTGGGTTCTCTACTCTCTGATTGATTTCCAGACCCTTTCTTGATGAATTTGGATCTGGGTTTGGGTTGTTGTTCTTGTTTTGTTTGTCTTTAATCTTCTTCTTGGTCTTCAGACTTGTGGGTTTTTATTATTTGTTTGAATTAGGATTCCACATGGGTAGTTTTGTTTTGTATTTGGTGTTCCCAATCTTGCATTGATGGTGAATCTTTGACCTGGGTCTTTGTTTTTCAATTTGTGTTTGTTGTTGAATTTGTGAGTCATTCTATAATTTCTCTGAATTGGGTTCTCTGCACTGTGATTGATTTTCTTTTCATGATGAATTTGGATCTGGGTTTGAGTAGCTTTCCTTGTTTTGTTCCTCTTTAATCTTCTTGTTCTTCAGACTTGAGGGTTTTTGTTGTTTTCATCAGAACCTTCGTAATTCTACATGGATCCTGATCCGGTTTTGTGTTATAATTCTGGGTTTTCTTTGCTGATCATTGAACTTGTGTAATTTCACTGTTTCTGTGAATTTTTTATCGAAGTAGTGAGTGGTAATCTCTGGGTATGCTTGCTCCAGGCATGAACTTGATAACTACAATTATTGGGTTTGGAATGAGTGCCACTTTCATTGTGTTTGTCTGCACCAGACTGATCTGTGGGAGGATTAGAGGCGTCGGCTCAAGGCAAATGTTCGAGATTGGGTCTAGGATTGATCTTGAACAGGTAGATTTGTTTTTCCAGACTGAATTTGACTCTCCATCCATATGGATATGTGGTTTATGGGGTTGGTCATGTTTTTTTAATCTGTTTCTGTTTGATTAAAGTTCACAATGATCAGTAAGTCTCAAACATTATTATTTATATGGTTGTTATTAGGATTGAATTGTAGATTTACACTTAAATAGGTTTGTCTCCTTGCATTGGATAGAAAGTTATGATTTGTTGCAGACAATTATTGATGGATTGCAAAGACCGTGTGTTCACTTTAGTTTGTTTTTTATGCCCGTCATTTGTTAATGGATAGATTGTGAAGTTCAATTTGGTAGAGGAAGATTAATGTACATAGTAGAATATATGTAGTTACAAAAGAGAGGGAGATGAATACAGCACTTGGGCAAAAAGGTTGTTTGGTGTCATCTTCATTTTCTGTTTTCTTCTTTTATTTTCTGGAAAACATAGAAAACTAATCGGGAGAGCTAATTTCAAAATTTATTTTTGAGAAAATTTTCTCAAAACAGCCCACTTTTAGGTACATCAAAAAGTTGTTTTTGAAAAAAGTTTTGCACAAAAATGAAAATGTTAGATCTTTTTGAACTTTTTATTATTTTGTTCTGCAAAACACAAAACACACCAAAAAAAAAATGGAAAATGGAAAACAAAAATGATGAAAAAAATACAATCCAAACATGACTACCCATATCTGACTATTGCTGGTTGGAGTTCTCCGCCATAAAACAAATTTGACCCTGCAAGAGTTGTCTCCAGTGGTTAAAGAGTTGAATATGATAGCCCAACTATGGGTAATTCTTGGAGGTCTCAAGTTTGACTCTCAACAGGGCTCAAAAACATATGAGCTTAACCAATGCACGTGGTTTGCAGGTGATTGTGTGTATCAGAGTTTATTCATAAAGCCTTGTATTGAATGACAGAGTAGGCTGTCATAAAAATAAAAATAAATAAATAAAACTTAAAAATATCTGACTATTGCTTCTTCATTACTAAAGATGTGTTACTGCTTTGTACAAATTCAATGATTTCAAAAACTGTTGAAATCTTTTAGCTCATCCCAGCTAGCATTTAGCTAATTCTCATCTGTTTTCTTCTTTATCATAAGTAGCTATTGCACCAAAAGCTAAAGTTTTAAATATTTGTATTTTGTTCATCCTTTTCCTGACAGCCAGAACATCAGAATAGCGGCCTTGAACCAGTGGTTGTTGCTGCAATTCCCACATTGAAGTTCAACCGCGAGGCTTTCAGTTCCATGCAAGATGCACAGTAAGTGCGTTCACCTATCTTGTTGGCACTAATTGAACATGGACTAACTTTGATTCACAATATGCAAATATTTATCAAAAAGTAGAACCTATAAAAGAAGGCTTATTTTTGTGTCCAAGACTCTTAGAAACCCTAGAATGAATCTGGTGGAAGTTTGAAGCATGAAACTGATGATCATAAGATCGGGTCTTGAAACATGAAGCATTGTTATTCACCTTCGGCCATGGTCTTCTACTACTCTCTGCACAAGACTGTAATGCCCTCTTTAGATGGGATTGAGAAAGAGAATATTTGTGAAAGTAGAGACCTAGCCAATGCCATCCTATAATGAGTGATTCTCAAGTTCTTCCCATCATAGAAATGGACCTTTGTCACAACCTTAATCCCATAGAAACCCGATCACTGGCCGCTTGATGGGATCGTCGGTATGTCTGAATGTATCAATCAACAACCAATTCGTTTTTCACAAACCAAAACAATTGGCTTATTGGCCCACACATGGAAAATTCTAACATCCAACACTGACACACGGCATTCTAGACACTTCTCGATGAATTTTTTTTGGGTCTGTAGCATACTAGACATCGTATATTTGAGGTACGGGTTGATTAACTCGTGATTTGCAGGTGCACAATATGTTTAGGGGAGTACCAAGAGAAGGAAGTGCTGCGAATCATGCCCAAATGTGGCCACAATTTCCATCTCTCTTGCATTGACGTATGGCTACGGAAACAGGCTACCTGTCCGGTTTGCCGGCTGCCCTTGCAAGACTCCTTCGAAACAAAACACATAAGACTAGCAGCATTTGATATTGCCCATTCTGTCAATAGCCCCGAGATTTCCATTGATCATTCTCAACAATGGTTGTTACCCGGTACTAATGAACATTCAGAGGGAAACGGTAGTAGTAACCAAGGAGGGAACTCTGAATCCACAAGTGGAAACCGGGAACTTACTCCTCCTGAAGAAGCAGAAACTAGATAAGTGACAAGCAAACACCAGCAGGCGCATTTCCGAGCCAATTATTGCCTTCACTACTTGCTTTTCGTACTTGTGATTGCTGGGAAATTTTTGGAAACATGGAGTTCGGTCATGATCTATTAGAAATCGCTGCACTGAAAGTGAAATGGGATTTGAGTCCTCAGAATTCAAAAGTTTAATGCTTTGATCTCCTCAGAGAGTTTGTGAAGGGTTTCAATTATACCGGGCATGTTATTTAAGCACACAACCTGATTTCATCTCATAGGATGTTATAGTTAAGTTATGATTGTTTATAGAGTGTTTTTGTAAAGTACTTTCAATTTGTTTATATGTTACAAAAAGAGCAGAACATGTCATTTTTTCTAGCATATATTGCTTTTGAGTTTCACCGATAATTGTTCGTCTGCAAAATTGCTTAAAAATAATCTAAAAAATTATTAAAAATTGATGCCGAAACACCGTAATACTACTTCCAATCGAATGCCAAATTACCAGATTTATAATACTATACTATTTACAATACTCAAAATTTAATTTTCAAATTCTTGAAAATAGAATGAGTATTTTGAGAAAGATTTTATTATTCATTTTTAGATTTTAAAAATAAAACTCAAACAAAAAATTACGTTAAATTGACAAAGTTGTAAAATGAATTAAATTTACAAAACAAAGCTGATATATATATATATATAGGCCTTGTAACTTATACATTAGTGTACTAAAATTTAATCAAGTATATATATTTCAATTTATCTTCATCTTTTTTAAAAATTTTAACATGAAAAGCATTAAGGTGCGTTTGGTAATGTTTACACTTTTGGTTTATGTTTACAAAAATTTTATAAACTGATTTTTGTTTGTTTTTAGAAAAACATAAGCTATAAACGCGTTTGCTTTGAACAAAATGTTTGAAAAATTTTAAAAACATAAACTAAAAAATATATTTATTCAGGCCTAAAATATTCATTTAATTTTTATTATTTATGACAATGGGATCATACACATTATAATTGAAAAAATAATAATTTAAAAAAATTAATTGGAAAAAAAATTTTGAAAAAAAAATTTGTAAGTCAAATTTTTAAATTTTTGTTTAAAAACTAATTTAAACTCATTTTTTGAGTTTACGTTTTTTTCTCAAATTTATAAACTGAAATAACCATTTATAAATCAAAAAAATTATCAAACAAGTTTTTATGACAATTTTTAAAATTTTTATAAGTATAAATTGAAAATTGAAAATGAAATAGTTACCAAACAGGCCCAATGTTTCATTTTCTTATGATTCTAAATCTTTAGAATCAATAAGGAAAAAAAAGTACTAAAAAATAGCTTAAATTATTATGAAAAGAGCTGCTAGAATAATTTTCCTATTTTTTATTTATTTATTATTATTTTTAAATCTTTAGAATCAATAAGGGAAAAAAAGTACTAAAATAGCTTAAAATATTATGAAAAGAGCTGCTAGAATAATTTTCCTTTTTTTTTTTTTTTTAAAAAATTTTTTTTTTTTTTTTTTTTTTTTTTTTTTGGTGGAAAAGTGGTTTTTCAAACAAAAAATCAAATACCACAGGGGTAGTGGCCTAGGCCAACCCCTTACCTAAGGGGAGGTTTTGGAGACGATACTCGGGTGCTGCTGTAGATGTATTGTACTTCTGTCGCATAATAGTTTAGACTGTTTATTGGGATGGGATGGGATGGGATGGGATGGGATAATTGGTACTTACCAGTGCCCGACGAGGATCCTTTTATTTGAATTAAATTAAATTAAATTGATAATCAATTATCCCGGTTTAGGGCTTGCAAAAGTAGTGGTAACTTATATTTTTTGTTAAAAAAATAAAAAATTAATAAAATTTCTCTCTCCAACTATATAGTAGGAGAGATTTAAGATATTTATTTTATTAACTAACGTTCCTCAATATTTTCACAGAAAAAATTCAATTTAGAGAAATTTTCAAATTTCTCTGATGAATCAGTAAAATTTCTCTGAATCAGGACGAAAATTCTTTGACTCGGACAAAATTTCTTTAAATCGAATTTCCTTTATAAAAATATTAAGAGACATGAAATATTATGAAAATATTATATGTGTTTTATATTATAAAATTTTAAGATCATGATCTTAAAAGAAAATTCTCAACAAATCAAATTTTTAAAAGGGGAAGCCTGTCTTCCGTCCTTAATTGGATTGGACGGTGCTTTTCAGTCCGTGAAGGCCCATCACATGTGTCATTTTAATAATTCGAACCGTTTAATATGTAAAACTTGTCAAATATTATATGCCTATAAAAAATTACATTGATTGAATATCGATAGTTATCTCATCTTATCAGTTAATTTATTCACCGTCCATTTTTTTTATACAAAACTTATTTGATCACATAATTATCGATATTCAATCAAGATAATCTTTTATAAATATATAATACTTGGTGTATTCTGCGTATTAAACAATTTAAATTATTAAAAAAAAGCCCGTAATAAACTCTCACGGACCGATCAACGCCTTCTAATCCGATCAACGACCGGAGGCAAGCTGCTCCTTTTTTTAAACGACACACAACCAGGCTTAAATTCGAAAGTCGACATCGCTCGAGCACTAGCCACCGACGAGGAGAGAGAGAGGGAGAGAGAATGGTAGCACAAGGGGGGGTGATTTCTACGAGCTCTTGCTTTCTTTCTCTGCCTCGTCACTGTCGACCCTCCTCTACCAAACCTCCACGATTAGCTCGTAATTCCTCTGAAACTACTATCTATATTTCTAGCTGAATTTCATGCCCTGTTTTATGTATTGTGAACTTAATTTATGGGTTTTAATTGGATTTGATTTCTATGGTTAAATTTTTAGCTATACTTGGTTCCAATTGGTGGATTTTTTAAGTTAACCCATCATTCATGGTTTTTTTTGTTTATTTGTGTTTTTGGTTTTACTTATTTGCTTTCAAATTGTTCATGACTAACTATTTATGGTAAATTTACACTGATTTATTAAAACTGAAAAACAACATTTCAAAGATGTATTAGCAATTAACCATTATAGCTATGATGCTTCTATAATTATAGTAGTTGTAGAAGTCATCTAAAAGTATAGTTCTAGCTGAATTTTCATACCCTATTTTATGTATGTTTCTCAAATTCTTGATGATATTGAGGAACCTGATTTATGGGTTTTGATTGGCTTTGATTTCTAATTTAGCTTATTATATTCTATGTTAGTTTTTGGGCTCTATTGGGTTCCAACTGGTGAATTTTAGGGGATAACCCATATTCATGCAACTTTTGTTTTGTTTTGTTTTGTTTTTGTTTTTGTTTTTTTTTTTATACTCATTTTTCTTTATAATTGTTCCTGTCTATCTATGATGCCAATCTTGGATTTGAAGAGACTAACCATCATTTCATATGATGTTTTCATAGTTTTTTTTAAGTCCATGCTTACTGTAAATTTACTCTTATTGATTAAAACTGGTATGGGAACATTTCATGGATATATAGCAATTACCCATTTTATATATGATGCTTCTATAATTATGATAATTGTCTAAATTTGAATGGTCTATTCACTTTTACTTAAAGGGATGGAATGAAGAACCTCTCCAATGGAGCAACATATTGTAGCCGTTTTTTTGAAAATGGTGAGTGCATCTCAAAAGAACACAGTGAAGTTGAGCTTTTGTTTAAAAAATACCTTAAAATGACCGGAAACTATAACAAGCATGGAATTTCACTATTTTTCTATATGGTTCCATTTAAATTGATGGAGTTTTACTTTGAAATGCTCCGTAAAAAGTGAATGGGCCAATTAGATTCAAGGTCCAATCAGATCGTGCTATTGCATCATTATTGTGCATTTGTTCATTGTACAAATAGGTCTAAACCATTGTAGTTTGATTCATGGGATTTCGTTTATGTACTTGTTGAGTTAAAAATATTTTATGAAGATTTGAACCATGATGAAGTGGATATGTGGGATTTAAAGGATGATAAAACCTTGGTTTGTTGAGACTCCAAGTTTTTTGCCCCCTACTAGTTTCTTAGAGGGACTTTATATTTGGATTGCATTGATGTTTTCATTGGTTTTGGTTATTTGGCAGTGGTAGCCATGAGTGATGATCCAATCCGTGAATGGATTCTTTCAGAAGGAAAGGCCACAAAGATTATAAGAATTAGTCCTGTTGGTGGTGGTTGCATCAATCTTGCCAGTCGTTACGACACTGATGCTGGTTCTTTCTTTGTTAAAACAAACAGGTATGTTAGTTTCTGTTCAGATGATTGATTCATATTTGGCTTTAGAGACAATTGCCAAATTGTTATGACCTGGTTTGGACTTACTGTGACATTTGATATTAGAGTATCAAATTGTTGATGGAATCATAGGATATAAATGCTTACTTCAATTAAGATTATGTATTGGCAAAGCTAGTACATTTTCATCTTCAATTATGCCAAATGAGCTCTTACCTATGAATCATGGATACTGTTAAAGGGGATTCATATCCATATTGGATACAGATACTCGTGGATACATACCCGATACTTCCTAAACGGATCCAATACTTGACGTTAATTTTGAGAAGTACTGGATACTTTTTGGACAAATGTAGGTCACATTCCAAACTATTATGAAATTGAAATTGTAATAAGTTTTGCATAGTATTAGAGTATAATTGTTAGGATAATAGCAAGAATAGTTTTTCAATATTTTCTTATTTTTGAAGAAGAAAATAGTGGGATTGAATTAGTACTCTACTCTTTCAGATTTTATCAAATCAGTGCATCCACTATAATAAAAAATAAAAAAAAGTAAAAAGACTATTGGCCGCCTCGCTCGAAAATCCGTCGCCATGCCACATGTTGCCTCTGTTTACACTGCTCTGCACCTCTGAAGACTGCACAAGTCCTAAGGCTGCTTCTGGACCGCCTTCTGAGCACTGTGGGAGGTCACCGGCCAAGAGGAATAGTCACTGGCCAAATGAATAGCCGGCCGGCACTGAATGTGGTAGGTCGGCCAACTCTTCCTACAGAATCTTGTTTTGCAGCAGCAGAGGGCTAATAGAGCATGACAATGCATTTTCAAAAGCAATGTGTGCACGACTACCCTCCTTATCATGTTATGAACTCAAGGGAGGATGGTCCTCGACCCTCGGGCCACCAATCACGTATTTCCATGCATGATGGCCAAAGAGTCAAGTGTGCAACTCATTATGGAATGAAACACACAAAACACATAAAGGGGCCCAACCTTTATCATGGTCGATCAAGAGGCAAGGAATGCATGCTTAATGCTATGCAACCTAGGCATGGAAGCATGCAAATGCAATATGAGCATATGAACAAGTATGCAAACATGCAAGCATGTAACAACATATTAAACTCATGACAAAATGC